AGACATGTTCTCCTCCATTTTGGCTCAAGAGAGTTTTTTCTGGGTGTGTGTGTGTGTGTGTGTGTGTGTGTGTGTATACACCAGAAAAATATCTCTCTCTCTCTCTCTCTCTCTCTCTATATATATATATATATATATATATAAAAGCAGAGAAGAGTCCCTAACTGCTTTATTCTTCCTAAATTAAAAAAAAACAAAAAAAACACACCCTGCCAGCCACTAGAGTAAAAGAAGAAATAAGAGGGAGACCAATATACAGTAGGTGAGTAGGGGTGAGAGCAATCCTGAGGCCAGCAGACAGAAAGGAACTGACAGGTTTGACAATGACCCTCCAAAGAGATCATGTGATGCTCATTCAACACAGAGTAAAGGATCTCAGTGCATCCATGAGAGTAAGCTACCCATTTCAGTGGTAGAAGAGAACAGTGTTTAGCCTACAGAAATTCACAAGGAATAAACACTGAGGAAGATGATGGTCCTTTTTCTTTTCTTTTTAAGTAGGCGACACACCCACCACCCAGAGTGGAGCCCAACCTGGGGCTTGAACTCAGGACTCTGAGATCAAGACCTGAGCTGAGATCAAGAGTCAGAGGCTTAACCCAATGCAGCACTCAGGCACCCTGATGATGACCCTTTAATAAATAAAATACATGCAATTATGATAACTTAGCCAAAGGAACTTTCTTTCAAATGGGCAATCAAGTGACAGTAAGAGGAGTTAATCTCACTCTCTTCTGGCAGGAAAAATTTGAAACTGTTTAAATAAATGTCATTCAGAGTTTTTATAAAATGTGCTATTCTCTCACTGAAAAGTAACCTAAGTTTTTGGGGTGCCTGGGTGGCTCAGTTGGTGAACTCTGTCTTAGGCTCAGGTCAAGTGCCCAGGGTCCTGGAATCAAGCCTGGCATCCTGGCTTCCTGCTCAGCTCAGCAGGGAGTCTGCTGCTCCCTCTCTGGCTCACTTTCTCTCAGATAAATAAATAAAATCCTTAGATAAATAGATAGATAGATCAATGTAACCTAAGTTCTAATAACCCCAAACTATTGTTGGCAAAGTTTCAAAGCCAACTGCATGTGCACATCTACATGCTTTTTCTAGGAATGTCTGGGTTTGGGATACTTTCATGTTTCAAGAAAAACGGTGATTTCCATCTGAACTGAAAAGCAGGAAACCGTGATGCTTTCATAAAATTCCAACATATAAACATTTCTGAGAAAGGAGAGGAGACAAGGCCGACCCAATGCCTAGGGGACGTCCTGTGCAGCCCCCAGGCTCAGAGCAAAGGAGAAGCAAGTGTCAGAGCTGCCAGGGCTTCCACCCACAGTTAGTCTTGGTGACACCTGGAACCCAGAAACAGGTGGGGGGGAAGACTGCACTCATCAGTAAGATCAAAGGTACCATGGAAAGGGAGATGGCCAGCCACAAATCCCAAGTGTCTGGAAAAAGGAGCTAGAGCCAAATGAGGAGCTAGAGCCAGCCGGAAGGAAAAGAACTCAGGAGTCTGAAGGAAGTCTGGGGAAAATCCGTTCACCTGAACAAAAGCACTGATCAGCCCTGAGCCCCCTACCCCTCCGTGGGGAGGGGGGGGTTGGGTAAAAACCCACAAATGGACAAAAACGCAAGGCTGAGCCTTGTAACCTGAGCGGATGCTCCCAAAAAAAAAAAAAAAAAAAAAAAAAAAAAAATACTTCCATTCATTAATAACTTGAAAAAACAGGTACATTTCCTTTGATTATGAAATTATTTAGCTCTTAGACTCTCTGATGCATAGATACAATTTAAAATCCTCTACTGGTAAAAGTAGTTGGGAGGCTGGCGGAAGAGCCCTCCCAAGACACTGTCAGGGCCACTAACTTCCACTGGCACTGGGACACCACCAACTCCGGTTCCCAGGGAGTCCCTTCCCTTCTCCTCTTTACAGTCACTCAAAGCCCAGCTGACTTCCAAGTAGGAATGCCAGCTTTCTGCATTATAATATGGACCTGGCTTCCACAGGAGATAAACTTACTATGGCCTGGAGGTTGTGGCAAGTGTGCCTAGGCTCGTTTTCTACATTACTGTTAGCAAACTCAAAGAGTCATAAAGATACTTTGGCTTACTATACTACAAACAGAATTATTTATCTAAAATAGGAGATACTTCAGAATGAACTTGCCAATTAATTGGAGTTTATTATTTTGGAATGTAAATCAAATGTGGCTATATTTAGTTCTTTATATTTAAGTGTACAAGACTTCTGAAATACAGTAGTGTACTTACTACCTTAAAATAAGTTCATTCAAATTTAGGGACCAAAAAAAAAAAAAAAAAAAGTTGTTCTTACACACGCCATCACTTCAGGTGTTCATGAAGTCAAAACATATATATTTGAAATTATCTAGCTTTCTGTTGCTAATGACAGTCATGCTGACAAAATTTACTGGTTGATCAAACAGTTCAAGTATATGAATTTATTTGTAATAAATTATCATTTTTGCATATATCAGTCAAAGCACAAGGCCTAAATACTTGCAAACAAAATGCATTATTAATTTAATTGTCACAGCCTATTTGGCTAACTTCTATTACTATTTGCTATAATATGCAATGCCTAAGAGGGGAGAATCAAATTTAAAACATAAAAAAGTAAGCTGATTATTTTGTCCTGGAGAAATTAAAATATAGCAAGCTTGCAAAATTATAGCCAAGGCATTAATGTTTTAAATAGGTAAGAAAAAAATGTTTAACTTAATTTAGAGAACACTTATGCCCAAAAGTGATGGTTCAACATGCTGATAAAGAGTTTCTTTGTTTCCTAAAACCATTAAAAGGCATCAATTCCCTTTCCGAGGCAGGGAGGAAGGTGGAATGGGAGCCCTTTGGCACTGACTGTGCTAGACTTCGCTACATGAATGCAACCCTCCCCAACTCCACATGTCTACTGCCGTGGGGTCCAGGCCTTCTGACTATTTCTGGGCAGTAAGACGAGGTATCCTAAACGAGAAGTATTCTGAAACACAGAGGTCTTAATGGAAGCAACAATTCAATGGAAGATGTCCAGTTGAGAGGAACTCGACAGCCTGAACTTCGAGGGGCTCAGGACCCAGAAGACAGAGTCCGTGCCTTCCCACTTGCCTTTCCCAATTTTGGAACCAAAACTGTGTCTAGGCCAGAGAAAAAGCTTAACACGTCTCAAAGGGAAGAAAGACATGCCTCTTGCCTCTGTGCGGCCTCCCTACAGGTGCCAGGGGCTGAAATGAGTAGAAACAAGCAAGTGCTCCTGGAGCACACAGAAAAGGTAATGGGAACTGAACAGTGCACCTGGGATCTTCACTCTCCTGTCACAGGAGATGCCTACTGTATTTAAGTGCTTGGAGGAGAAAACTGTGTATATAGTGATGAAGTTTTCATTAGTATGAAATGATATGAACAGTTTTTTAACCTTTATTCATTCCTAGATAAAAAGCAAAATGACACATTTGAATTACAGTAGGGAGGTATTTTCTTTTTATTAATCATATGATCTAGACTGTTTTCATTCAAAATTTATTTGGGGAACAAAATCCCTAAGTACCCAATTGTAAAGATTCTCGGTGTCAGATAATTAGTCCAAGGAAGGACAATGGGATTAGAGTCAGAAAAATAATTCTAACATTCATTAATTATAAGACATTGCATAAATTATTGCAAATTCCTGAATCTCAGGCTTTAGATCAAAAAACCTGGAATAATAATGCACTCTTAATAACATCACAGAGTGATTAACTGAGATAATGCATGTAAAAGCAACAAAATATAGTACTTAAAAATGTTTTGTTTCTGCTTCCTTACACATTCATGAAACATAACTTAGACAAATCCCAAATCATAATGTAAGTAATACAGAATATGTTGAATTTCACAAATTATACATTCAGGATATGCCCAACACATACAGTTTGGTTCAAATTAAATATCATGCTACAAAGAGAAGTACCAGAAGTCAAGGTAAAGAGTAGGCATACGTGACACCAGCATTCTGCCCCAGCAGTCACGTATGAACCAAAACGCTAAAGAAAGCAATATGCCTTCGACAGAACAATCAAGTCAAATTGCTTGTAAACACAGAAATTGTTGGTAAGAGCATTTTCAAGTTTTTAAAAAGGGAATTAAGCATTTACAAGTAAGGAAGAGGATCTAGGAGGCCGTAGGCTGCAGAATGACGGAACGGACTACATCATTACTTGCATCTTAGAAAATTACTAAAAGCCAAAGGTTTCTGGGAGTGTCTACAGAGTTTCAGATACTGTCGTAGAGAATTGGGGGAAATCGACTATGTCTCTGAAGGAAGGACAGAAGAATTTTCACCAGCTCTGAGTGAGCTGCATATCTTACAGATTCAAAAATTTTAGAAGTAGCCATACTCACCTGCTAGCTGACATTGCTCTACTTCTGCTCACCTTAATATAATTAAGTCTATGTGATGAAACTAATTATGATACAGTAGCAGGAAAAAAGAAAGCCTGGCAGTTGATGACATAATAATTGTAGTGTTATTTTTCATGACATGGCAACTACAGTATTATTTTGGGGATGACACAAGATGTATTTCTTTTTTAGTATCAGCAATGCTTAATTCTACAGTAAGAATTTAATACTGTTTAAAAATCTCAAAATAAAAATGCAGGAAAAAACAGACAAAGTCTACTTTTACATTACTATTTTAGCTCGTCCGAACACAGTGCAGAGGTCAATCCCCTCCTAAATAAACTTTTCTACTGTTTCAAGTTTATTTCAGAACTTCACAAATCCAAAGGCCCTCAAACCTTTTCAAGTATTTTTAGGTCTGAATTTTAAAATTAAAATGACATTAAATTCTTATGGAAGAATGGTATGAAATACAACATCCAGCCCCAGAGTACCGGAAATGCTAACCATGATAAACTGACTTGATATCAATTCTAGAACTCACACCATTAAACAAAGCCTAAAATGCAAATATAATCATACTTATTAAATTTTTTCAAATGAGCGAAAATTACCTTTCTTTTGGGGTGCCAACTCCATGCTTGCCTAGGAGATGCGTATTTAAGTGCTTCTTCATGACAAAAGCAACCCTAAAGAAAGAAATAACAATAATTACAGAACTAAAACGTGACTCTGCTAAAAGCATATCCACAAAGTACTTAACAGGCACTGAAATGCGAATCTAACATGAAATTGCACATTACAGCAGCACTCCTGGTAAACAAGACGCTTGCCTACAGATCACATGTACTGTGATACCTGAAAGCCAGAAGAAATAACCGTATTTAAATGAACTGGTTCATTGTCTTCCTCTGGTGCACAGGGGCGGAAACAGTGACTGTACCTCAGTCACCGCCTTCCCCGTCTTTAGAGAGACAAAGTGACTCCCGACATTGTAATCCTCACTGCCCCTTAGTTGATCCCACACTTCAACCATGGAAGGAGTTTGAGAAAATGTCATTTTATTAAATATTTAAGGGACTGTAAAGAGAAAATAGATAGCCTCCATGAAGCTTCCTTGAAAACATGGTAATAATTTGAAAAGAGGTTTTAAAAATGATGTAAGTGTCTAGTGTGTCTGTGGCACATGCAAAAAAAAAAGTACTTCAATGCCAAGAAGATATCAATAACTAAAACAAACAAAAAGTATTATGTGACACGCTATCTTATTTTATACACAAATCAGCTTACTTAATTCAATTTTGAGGACATAAATATGAAATGGACAGGAATCAAAAGTCAGTCCATGGAACACCAGTCTCCTTCTGAACACATTACAACATCAATTTAATTACATCGTGTGATTATTTAGAACAATTTAGATCTCATTCAGAAGCATCAGACTAAAATGGTTCTCTTGATAAGCCAAAAAAAAAAAAAAATTAATGTTATAACTTTCAGAGTAAAAGGGCTTGCAAACAGTTTTGTTAATTATGTATTACAGCTGTCCTTCATAAAGTTAATTACCAATAGCTGAAAGGCAACAGAATCTATCTGCATATGTACATGAAAGGCATGACATATGCAAAAATATGATTTTAATTAGCATTCTATGATATGAAGGGCTACAAATCAAATTGGCATGTTATAAGATTCTTAACATTAAATACTGAATTCATCTGGACATGTTTGCACAAACAGGCAATGTAAGGCTGTAAAGTACTATGGCCTTATAGAAGAGACATGCCAACCGCTAAGACTGAAAGAATTTCTAAAAAGATAAACACCTCTCCCCGCCACCCCCCATGTCTGGTCTATTTTGGTTCTTTTCCTATAATATTAGAGAACCTCAGTTTTGAGGCTAAAATAATATATTTGTAATTTTTAAGTGACTGTGAGTTCATTATTCAAATACTGTATTTGTATATACTGAAAACGGCATTCATTCTTTTTTATATATTAGGTAATAACTATGGACAATACAAGCTTGACACTATAAATAACTGAGCACACTATCAATCATTAAAATGGAAAAATAACGACTACATGTAAAGAATCAAACTGTGATGATATATAAAGGCTTAGCAAAAATAACAGTACAAGATATTCTTTATTTGTTTCTGCTTGATTTGGACAAAATAAGTAACATTTTTCATTTCCTTAAAAAAGAATGCAGTAATAACAACAGTCCATTTAAGTCATAACTTCCCTACTGTCCTCTATTTTCTTATAATTAAAAAAACATAAAGCTAATAGCAAAGAGCAAAGGTTAAGAACCCAAAGTTGCAAAGCACAGCTTATTTACATGACTAAGTATAATTTAAGAGATGTGAGCTTAGAACCACAGGGCAGTTCCTGAAAGAAGAAACTTTTATTAATTAAAATGTGTAAGTTTTAAGAATTGAAACACAAATATTATACTTCACGGGGAAACAGACTGAAGTACAGAGAGGGAAAGCTTCTGCCTAATATAACTCTTAAACCGCTTGCTGAATGTCTGTAGACTAAACATCTGGAGGAATAACAAGTTTTATTATGGGAGAACTTTATAATACTAAAATACAGCTCAATTATACTTAAATGCAAAATGTTCATTCATCCAAAATCTGATTTAAAGTAAGTATAAAGTCTTTAAATTTGGAATACGTAAGTACAAGTAGCATCGAAGTCCCAAAGTCATCCTCAATTAAAAGATCCAAGTCAAGCATGACTAAAATCATCTTACCAACCTATCTGAACAGAATATTACCAGCAATCTGTGCTTACTGAAGGTAGTCTACCTCTCACTGCCGTCAACATAGTCTTGCTTTCATATTTTAACACAGCAATTGCTCTGGAAATTTCATCATCTATACATCACCAGAAATAAGACAAAAACAGTCCCAAATCTGAGAAGCTATACAGTCGAAACTGCTGGCTCCTGATGAACGCTTGTGCCTGTGCACTCACTGTGTTTCTGCACGTTTACTGGTCACTCGGGGTAAAATCAGACAGAGCTGGGCCTGCATGGAGCTTTCATTCTGCACCGCGCGTCTTCTGGAGGAGGTGGCAGCGAGCCCACCATGCCCCAGCAAGGACACCGCTGGGCACTCGGGCACGCAGTAAGTCACCGACCTGGACCCACTCCAGAGCACAGTGACAAAACTAGAGTCCCTACCTCAGAAAACGTGAAAACTAGTGATGGAAACAGACAAGAACAAAATGTAAAACATACAACGTCTTAAACACTATGATAAGCGGTAGGAGAAAACAAACCAACCAACCAATCAAGAAGGAAGATCTGAAGGGTCAGGATGGAATCAGAATCTTACACCTGACGGCTCCGGAGCGCAGTCTGTGCATGAAGGGGGCAAGGGGCCGGGCCAGGGATGGGGCGGGGCATAGCAGGCCACAGAAGGCAGGGCAGCCAGGACAGCTGTGGGGGAGCCCATGAGCAGGGGCTGCTCTCCGAGGCAGAGGCAGCGGAAGGCTAGGGAGGACAGGGCAGGGTGGAGGGTGGTGGGGGGAGCTACAACCCCAGTGAGAGGGGAGGCATCCCAGGCCCAGGGTCTGACTCCCTGCGATGGGGCTCAGAGCAGCCAGAGGGACAGGACTGGGGCAGGGGATGAGTGGGGAGAACTCTGAGAGGGGTATCCAACAAGAGGCCAACCTCTGGTCTTGAGGTCAAGGGCAAGATCCATGTTAGAACATACTCTCTGAGGCTTTCCATCTACAAATGCCCTACAATCTAAAGGAACACCTTGAAATAAAAAACTATGCTTTTCTTTAAATATGATTGATTTCCAAGTACCTAGAATTGCCTAAAATAGCGTCACTTAAAATTGTTTTTGGTGTCAAAAGAGCAGCACAGTAGTAACACTTACATCCTAATTAGAGATTTCTACTTTTCAGTACCAACATTTCATATTTTAACTTGTAATTTGAAACGAATTTCTCCTACACAATCGATGGGTCTAATCAGAACCTCTTCCTTTAATCCCTAAGGTTTGATCACTGCAGAATTATTTCCATTTAAGAGTCATGGAAGATTATCTGACTGATCTATTTAAGTGAATGAGATACAATACACGATTGCAGGGGAAGAGATGTGGAAAGCAACATGTGCCAAGAGCCAAGGCACATCAGCACTCCCTCACACGCCCGAGTCAGGGCATTCGGTGCAGGGCCGCAAGTCAGCTTTGCACAGACAGGTTTTCCAGAACTCGAGCCAAAGGGACAAGCAGCAGCAGCATGTTTGTGCGGTTTTGCTATGTTTTACGTGTGTCCCCCGTCTCTCAGTGAAGGGCAGATGTTACTCAAAGACCGGCCTGTACGAGAGACCATCCAGCTACTTGCTGGATGCTCAGGCCTTACAGGTCGCAGGAAAGACAAGTGCGTTGGCTTGTAAGCAGTTACAACCAGTTACAACCCACAGGACAGAGCCTTGAGTTAAGGAGAACCTGTAAGACAGCCGAGCGCAGGACTAAGGGGCGAGTGCGGGAACTTCCCTGCCAGCCCCTACTGCGGAATGGGGTGCCTCTCCCCACTCAGGCCGCACTGCCCAACTGCTGGGCAGAAGGCAGGCTTCACCCACCCAATCGCTGAGTGAGCCAGAGAGTAACACAACTGACAGCTTCCAGTCACTGCTGAAGAAGCAGAAAATTTAAAAAATTAAAAAAACAAAAACATAAAACAAACAAACAAAAAACAGACAAGCGGCAGGGGTCGCTGGCAGGGCCTGACCTAGAGTCAGACCCCGGCCACGGCCAGTGAGCGAGCCCATGCGCTCTGGGGCCTCCCTCGCAGCAGCTCCGGGCAGGCACAGCGAGCATGGGGACAGGCGGCCCGCAGCCCAGAGGCTCACTTTGGGAAGACTGAGCGCCCGTCTGAGTCGCCAGCCCCTGGGTGGAAAGGGCAGGAACACAGTGCTTCACGGGAGCCTCGTGAGAACTGAAGAAACCGCAGAAGCACAAGCCCGCGGGGAGCAGGTGAGGACAGCTGGTGAGCGGGGGCTGGTGCTCAGCGCACTATCCATAGGTGTGCTCCTCCATGCACGCGTGTGTACCACTGTGCGTATACATGGAAACCTACAGATCGTGTCAGTGACACAGTTACATCTAGAAGAAAACCAGCTTAAGGATGTCAACTACAAGAGCCTCCGTTCCTCCGGGCCAGTTAGCACCTTCATCAACACACGTGAGCGGCTTTGAAGAGATTCCCGTCGATGGACGTGAGATGACCTCACAGCTCGAGTCGGATAAACCCGCCGCTTCAGACACAGACACCACCTATGTGAATGCGGCCTGAGACGAAGCACGCACTCACTCTGCCTCCTCTACACACTATTTCCATCTGTTTATCTCAATCTCCAAGAAAGGCGGGGGAGGAGGGCTTCAGAAACACAGCTCTCCGAAACTAAGACAACAACAAGCGAAGACTAAGGAAGGGAGTGGTCACCCCCACCCTGAAGGCCAAAACCCAAGGCCTGTGCGCCCTGTCCCACTCCCTCCCGTCTCCTAAGGTGCATCCCGCACTCCACTGCAGCACTTTCTGTATCCGCCCAAAGATGCAGTTCGGAGGGATGTACCTTGGTTTTGGCGACAGGAGTATTCAGTGGTCCTCGAGGTTGAGGGAGAGCTGTGCACATCTCCCCTCCCGCTCTGGGACTCCA